TGTAGATGTTCTCATCAATCTTTTATTTTTAAAAAAAATTAGGACTGAGATGAGCTGATGTGAAGTGAAGTGAAGTGAGGTCAACTCACTTCAGTTATAGTAGGTGAAGAGCTCTATACCTAGAATAATCTATATAATTTATATCTACCCAGTTACCTGCAATGTTGTATGCCTGGTCTAATTAAATACTTACTTATTTTCTTACGGAATTTCAAAACTTGAAGCGAGTTAAGAGGTCAACAAAGCCAATAAAGGTCGCCTTTCTCAGCATTTGAATTGAAGAAATAGCCCCTATGAGCCAGGACCCAACACCCAATCTAGAAAATACAAAGAGTATACTACCCTACCAATAGTCCATCTTTCCAAGTCCAAGCCCACGAAATCGCTAACGCCTCTATGCTTCACAAAGTCCTAGCAGCTTCTACACAACTTCTAGTCCCTTCTCCTAGATAAATCGCTTACTCTCCACAGTTTCCACAGTCTCTACATTCTCCTCACTCCCCTCACTCCCCTCTTTCTCCCTCCAGCCCCGCCCCTTCTCCCCCAGCAACTCCAAATGCAAAACAGGACGCCACTCGTCCCTCCCCCTCAGCTCCTCTCTACCCACCCATACAACCTCCCCCGCCTCATTGACCCAATCGCTCCTCCCAACCAAACAATGCCAAAAGGCCTCTCGCGTCCTACTCGCAAAGATGGCTTCCCTCTCTTCCTCGGCCGCCCTCGTCGTATCCGTCGTCCCCGAGCTCCTGAACTCGAAACTGCCCTTCAGCCTCTCCGCTTCAGCTTCCGCTTCCGCTTCGGCGATTTCGACGGCGGCCCAGTGTATAAGGATCTCGTGGTGGAAGACCCAGACTCTATCCCTGAACTTCCAGCGAAGTACTTCTTTGATATCCCTTTCAGTTTCTTCCTTCTGTAGTGAGTTAACCAACACAATCTTCACCTTGCCTCTCTCGGCAGGGGACTCGCCCACTACATCGCCGTGAGGATCCGTATTGAACAGGACCTCGCGATCCCAATGCTGGAGATCCCTACACCGCGTCCCGCCGTGCGAGGGGAGTAGGTCGTGCTGCAACATGCGGAGGCCTGTGATGGAGCGGGAGAGGTAGACGGTCGAAGTTGCAAAGGGGCAGGGGTGGGCCCTGGGGTCATTGCTGTAGCCACAGTGGCCGCTAAAAAAGGGGTAGGGAGGTGAAGGAAAGCCGGTTTCAATGTAAGCGGCGAGGTTGGTAGGAAGGCCTGGGGGTGGCGGGAGGGGCGGAGATGACTTTAGGGTAGAGGATAAGGGAGACGGGGTAGGGCGAGCTGGAGTGGCGTTTGCCCGTTGGTGACGGCTGTGGCCATGGTCTCTTGGGAAGGGTTCGGGGGAGGGTGTGTCGGAGCGGGTGTGGTAAAGTTTGTCTTTTGCGGAAGAGGACATGTTTATTGTCGTGGATATGGTCGTAGTCGTTGTGGCGAGCGTGCCGATGCGAGAAGGGGAGATATTTGTTATATCTGCGAGAGGAGTGTTTCTCCTAGGCTGAGAAGCGGAGGAAGGCTTTAGGTTTATAGCCATGACTGCCTTGGATTGCGATGAAGATTTTGTCGAGTTTGTCCTATGCCGCTTGATCGGTGGTTGCGATATTTCTGGCAAGCTCGAATTGGTCATCCGACGCTTCCTGGAGGCACCCGGGCTTGTTTCTGGCGTGATTGTCTCTGGACTGATTGCCGTTGTGATGATTGCGTGCTCCGGCTTCTTCACCACTTGACTTTCTCCTGAGCTTGGCGGTGTGGGGAGCACAGCAGGTCCAGGTCGTTTGTGTTTGGAGGACCTCGAGGATGAAGGATGGGTTCTAGGAGGCGGCGGCATATCGTTCGTCAGATCGACAATCTCGTGTTGATGTATAGCCTTCACAGGACCTCCGTTCGTGATACTCGCACGGTGGCGGACTCTGGATTCGCGCGAGCTTGGAGGAGTATCAATACTGCCACGAGCGGAGCTCGGACGCGGAGTACTTCTGCCATCACCGCTCCTCTGAATGCGATCTCCAGGTAACAATTCCGAAGTATCGATCCTTATCAAGGATGGTGTGGGCCGGGAACTTCGAGGACTGGTTCTTCGGGAAGATGGCGGCGTCGAAGGTAACGCGGATCGAGGAGTAGTCATACGGCTCATGCTCTCTCTCTCATCACGCTGCCTGAACTTCCTTTGGATCGATGCTAGCAACTTGTTGTGCTCATCAGATGCTGGCTCCTTCGGCGTACGCCTTGCTTCATCTGCCATACTCCTCAGTCCGTCAACAGATATCGTCTCCTTCCATGTCCTGTCCAGATGTACCTTCAACACGCGGGGATGCCGTAGCATGAAGAAGTCTTTGTTGGGAGGCTTGTCGAATCCACTCCCCAGGACCTCCGCGACAAAGGGCTCGTTGAAGACAACATCCATCTTGGAGCATGGGCTGGCATCGAGGTGGAGATCAATTCTCTCGGGATTTGCCAGACGTCCTCCTGCACGAAGGAATGGCTGGCTTCGGAACGGGCCAAGTTCGTTCACTGCTTCCAGCTCAGGATTCGGAATGCACTGGTCCTGGTCAATCGAACCGACCACTTTGAACACGGGGATAGCGCCAAATCGCACCGCCTCAGGATTTTCCAAGCAGCCAAGGTGGAAAGTGGTCCAGCGCAGATTCTTCAATCGGCATCTCTGCGCCTGTCTTGCATTGTAGCTTGCCCCGACCACTGCGAAATCCGCAACGTCCCGTTCCTCTCCAAGCTCGGCCATGTAATCTGCTTTTACTTTGATGTATCCGTGGTACTGATCCTGGCCAAAAGTGCCGAGAGAGAAATACGGAGCGTCAGCAGCTTTAAGGATGAGCCCTTCATGCCTTTCGGAACGGGATTGGGCATAGTGTTGACACAGTTCTTCTTCAGCCCCATCGACAGAGAAATCCAAAGGTATCCATCTTGCTCGTTGTGCTCTACCTTCCTCTGGTACCATGAGATGCTTGAGGTGAGCACGCCGCTCGGCGTGGGGTTTGCGAAGGACCATATCGTCGTCGATCATGAGAACATCAAAAAACATGATCATAAGGTGCTCGTAATCATGTGGCATGGAGTCCTGCTCCGTCCCCAAGAATGAACCAGACCTAGAGACGTGCTTGCGAATTTTGTGGAAATCCAGGATCCGTCTCTCTTCATCCGAGTAGACCAGTAGTTCCCCGAGCAGGATGCAACGGCGTTTGAACTTGCATAGCGGAGTCTCGATGCACAGAGACTTTCGGATCGTCTGATGGATTGCCGCTCTATCCTTGGTCGACTCTTTCCCGCTCTTGGAGTAGATTTTGATCCAGTTTGGGGACTGTTCCAGGTCAATGTGGATCTCGCAGTATTCTCCATCGTACTTCTGCTCAGCATTCCAACGTCCCTTGCCCACCATCTTGAGGCAGTGAGAGATTGAGCGAGCTTTCTCAAATGGTGGTCGACCGATCTTGACCCCAATCTTTGGGGTAAGCTTCTTGCTAGCTTCCCTCCGGAAGATGGCCCTGGAACGCGCGTTAGGATCCGCGTGGTACGCATTAAATTCTCCTTGGAGTAGAGAGATGGCTTCGTCGAAGGAATTCTGGAACCGAAGCAGATCGGGGAGGAGGAAATGGAACCTAGACAAGACGAGATTTGGATCCAACACCACGGGAGCAAAGTCCTTGAGCATGAGTCGAACGAACCATTTTGCGTCTCGAGAAGTCAATCGTAGGAAAATGCTTTCCAAAGCGCAATCTTTCGACGTTTCACCTCCCCGGCGAGAGCGGACTTCCTTGGAAGAAAACCGACACTGTGAAGCGACATTTTGAAGAGCGCTGTCGACATCTTCAACCGTCAGTGCAATTCCAGGTTTCGGCTCGCTGTCGGACTGCTTTAGGACATTCTCAAGGCAGACTCCAAGATCTCCTCTTCCCGAAGTCTTGTAATTCTGGAGATCTTTCCGTTTGGAGGAGTTCAAGCAGAGACATCGTCCGGCAATCTTCTCCAGACTGGCTTCCTGGATATGATAGACCCTGTCTGTCCGTCGTTCCGGGAAGAGAGTGGACAATAGGGCGACTTGGTTGGTGCTTCTATCTTCGATAGTTCGCCGATGAGTCTTGAACCAGTTTTCCACCGTTGATTGGATCTTGAGTCGCCGGGCGTCTCGTAGAAGTGGTGGATCACGCAGCTGGATCTTCTCAAGGTCCGAGAGGAGGTCGCAGAAGTAGGTGAACTTGAACGGCATTCTGATTATCAATTGAGTATATGTTTATGGGAAGTAGTATGTCCAATAAGAGAGGATATCCTCGAAATGCCGTGTAGATAAGAACGAGAGTGTGAGTACTATATGACGACCAAAGAGACGGGAGGTGACTCGGTTGAGGCTATAACATTATAAAGGAAGGAACTTCCACTCGCTGATGGGGCATTGAACCAAGGTGTTCGATGGCTGCCAAGTTTCAACACTGCTAGAGTGAAGGGAAACCTTAGAATTCAGGTGTTGCGGACTTGCGGAGATGGCGCAAGGCGGGAGGATCCGCCTGTTTTGAATGACGCGACACGCTAGATCGCGGTGTCACATGTGTGGCTTGGTTCTTCGTGACCTTTGTCGCGGTTTGCTTTGTGACGGGTGAGATGATCAAAGCAAGTGATCGGATTCCGAAGTATCCATTTCTTTCTTGCATATTCTGTTCTCTTGTGAGCGAAGGTAGGTTAGTTTGTGGTTGACTGTGTTGCAAAATTCGATTACTTGAGTAGGAGAACGGCTTCTTGAGCGGTCTGTTGAAGATAGCAAGCAAGTCCACGATTTAGCCACAACGAACCATGAAATGATTCCTTTTGAGCCCAGCTGCCTCACGCCTACAAAATGCACTATTCATCTCTGTATCTTGCGCTCCCGTGACGTCCCCAAGCAAGGCGGTGCGAGTTCCAAGCCATGCTCTCAGGCCGGCAGCACAAACATTTAGGCAATATATTGACGCTAAAAGTGTTAAATGTCAAACCAAGGCACTTTGGCGGAGTGGTTAACGCGATGCCCTGCTAAGGCATTTCCTTCGGGAGCGTGTGTTCGAATCACACAGGTGTCGCATCTTTTTTGCATTTTTTTTTGGCCGTTCATCCTGGCCATTTTGAAGTCTCTTTGAAAGTGTTTCTCGAACACCTTGCCGCTGGTTGGCTTTTGAAACGTCTCGGCTTTTTATCATACAGCTCTTTGGGGGTTTCCGTCAAGGAATACCCCTTACACATGAGCAAGAGTATCATTTTCGCAATGCGACGAATTTAAACGGGACTTGCGTGAAGTGGACCTTAGAGAGTCACTCGTGGTTAATAAACAGGGCTCCAAATAGCCTGATTATATAACTCTCGTAATTCGTTTCATTATCCGAAGTTGACGCAGTGGGGTACTTTTGAGCCATCTCCTTAGTAACCTCATGTCCCGCCCTCGAAATTGCCATTTAGCTAGGTATTCAGCTTGATCAAACCGCCAGTGGGTATCAACTACACGTTCGCCGCCTCCTCCTTCACTCTATCAATCTTACCCTCAAGGTGCGCCCCGACGATCCTCTCCAGAACAACCACAAAGGCTCTCCTTTTCTTCCCCTCCACATCCACATCTCCATCCACCGCCGCCGAACCCAATTCCTCCCAATGCCTCTCTACCAACTCGCTCAATTGCTCGGCTTCAGTAGGTAGACCCAGTTCTTTCAGCGCATTCTGCGATCTCGAATCCACGAACGGATAACTCTCCTCCCACATCCACTGCACGCGTCGAAAGAAGATATCAAGACCCGTCTTAGCGATCCCCTTGATATTCTCCTGAAGTAATTCCCTTTCCTGGTCCACGTCTTCCTCTGCCTCTTGTCGGACTGCATCGAGACTAGTGTCTGTAGCATCGCCCTCCTTTATGAATTTCTCAATCAACACATCCGCTAGTCGAGATATCTCGGTCGCCGTCTTCTCTTTATGCTGCGTCCTTGCATCAAATATCGCTTCGAGAACCCTCTCACGCCCCGCGTCTTGTATCGCCTTCGGATTCGTGAAATTGTACGGTGGGTTAAGAATCGTGCGAATGGTGCGATGGCCGAGAGCATGCGATATTGGACGGGAGAGGATTGCAGCACAGAGGAGTTCTTCGAAGGGCGAGAGCGGGGTTACTGAGTATGTTCGCATGTTCTTTGTGTCTGCTTCTTCCAGGGCTTTGGATTCCTCATCTGGGCGGCAGAGTTCGAGGGCTTCTGGAGAGAGGAGATAGCGAATTGTTTGCTCGCTGGATGGATGCGATTTTGGGGCGCCGCGGGCGGATTTGCGAGTTGGTTTCTCTGGTTCAGTCTCGGTTTTAAAGTTTAGTTTCCTCTTTTTTGAAAGTTCGACCTTTTCGTCGGCATCTTCTTCTTGGTTCTGTTCTGGTGCTGTGGATGTTGACTGCTCCTCTTGCTTCGGCGCCTCCTTCTTTGCAGCTTTAGGTGTGGTCTTCTTTTTCGGTGGCATGTTGAATTTGCTGAAGATTGATTGGAGAAAGAGAGATTTGGGAAAGCGAGAACGGGTTTCAAGAAAGTATCTGGGAGTGATGTGGATGCAGGTACACATGTTGCCGTCACAGCGCGTTCAAGTTCTCAGTCGAGTGCACAGAGTGGCTTGGTGTCATGATGTAATTCTGGCATAATGGGGGCTTCATCCAGTCGAGACTCGAGACCCGCACTGGGAATCCGCATAGATCGAGCTTCGTAAAGTTTTTAGGAACACTCCGTATCCACATCTCGCCGATTCCTTTCTTGACCCAAGGCTCGATTCAGGTACGTCGTTTTGCGAATACAGGTATACTCCGTAAGCTGATCAGTCTGTCGACGATGAGATAGTAATTAGCCGATCAATTGGAGAGATTGCGCTTGGACGGTGAGTATCTAAACTTTACCAAATATCGAAGTACCAGACAGTCAAGGAGATACCTAAAATTAGTCTGGTATAATGCACACAACCTCATCTTTTGGCCTTTGGATATCGGCCATCGTACCTGCAGCCGGCGTCTAGGTCGCAGGCCAACCAAGCTTTCGTTTGAAAGATGAAGGGATCCAGCCATCCGACCCTACGTAGCAAACCTTTCAAATTCCTCTCTTTCTTCCGTCTGCGTCTCATCCAGATCCACTGCCCCATCATCCCACTCGGAATCCCTCCGCGCCCCCTTCGGAACCCCTCCGTCACCAAACGAAATACTCGCCCAACCCGCACTGATTGCGGGATCACGGTACCTGCATGTGTTTCGACCACTCGCGCGCGCGCACAGTACTCCGGGCTACGAAGTTGCGAACAGGCGAGCGCAGGTGACGGATGACCAGTTCGGGAAACCCACAGCGAGGGGGAAGGGAGAGAAACGAAGCGGCGGCGAGCAATCAGATAGGGCGAGATAGACGACGGTTACAGACACAGTTACGGGCGACGGGATTGGGAAGCTATATGTGGTGTGATGATGAGTCGACATGGCGCGAATGATGGGATGATGGGATGCTGGGATGCTGGGGTTAAGGGTTGGGTTGGGGAATTTGCGGGATCCTGGCTGGGATGGTGTTGCCGAGTATATAGGCGGGTTACGTAGGTAGTTTGTGTCCCCTCTCAAGTTGCACTTCTTGATTTCCTTTCTCTTATACTGCACCTCCTTTTGCATCTGGAGAGAGAGTTTGCTGAGGGCGAGGTCTTCGTTGTCTGTTTCGTTTCCCTCTGTCACCGCTCAGCCCTACACTCATCTCCTCAACGGCGGATCCCTGCATTTGGCAACGGCCCGCATCGGCTTAGCCTCCCCCTTATCGATTAGCCCCTCTCGGCCCCCTCCACTCTATCCAGTTTGACTCGACTCTCTTGGGTTGCTCCGTCCAAAGCTGCCGGCCGCTGTAAACACTTACCCGCCGAACACTCACTCACAAACGCGCCTGCAGGAGGTGAGTCCTCCTCGACTCCAGCCCAAGTGACGCGAGCCATTTATGGTGAAACTGTCGCAACGGGAAGGTGGGAATTGTGAATATTGACATTTCGGAACGTGCCCGTTGTTAGACATTGTCCTTCGTGCCGGGCATCTTAGACCTCACTTCACATATCTCTGCCTAATACCTCACTTTCGACGCTCGAGCTTGAAGCACTGCAGCAAATCCTCCGACTCCAAGCCAACTTCAGATCTTCGAACCCAACCAGCCGTCCTCGTCTATAGCAACCGACTTCCTACACTGCTGCTATATACACCCACAACCACCACCAAATCCAGACCCACAAGTTGAAACCTCACCTCACCTCACCTCAACTCGCTCCAACTCCAACAAGATGCTCGCCCGACCAACCCTCCTCACCGTCCGCACGGCACTGCGTAGTTACTCAACGCACCCCTCGCAGCCCCGAAATCCACGTCTGCAGTCATCCCTCGCAACCTCGTATCTTCTCACTGCATTCGCTCTGCCGTTCATCCCACCATACATTGCGAGCACGCGCGCGAGGCAGGATGGGTCCTACGCAACGAGGTGAGACTATTCTATACATCCATCTCAGTTCAACATTTCACAGCTGTCTTACCGCCGTGTCTTCTGTTTTCTATGCGTAATATTTCAAAAACTGTTCTATGTTCTCTATTTCCATGTGGTCATATCCAATGCCGAGAGAGTATTCGTTGACTTGGACTATCTATAGACCGCCGATCGCGTGGAAGCCTTGCCCATGCTGTTGAAGAGCTCGCTTTCGCTCTCGACAAATCAATGCTCTGAGCAACTATTGTCTCGTCACTGGTATTCCCTAATGTATTCATGGATGGAGCAATTGCACGCATGGAGCGGACACGGAACGGCGTTTTGGGATCATGGCTTATACCACACAATGTCACCATCTCTTTCTGATTCGGAGAATGCACGCAGACTTGCTGGTGGACACTGCACGGGAGCCTGGGAACAGAATTGGGAATTCTATGTTGTGGGATAGAACTCCGTCATGCATTGCGGCGACGGACAGTGTAATATTCAGCAAACTCGATCGCATGCGGAGAACGAATCAAATCAAATCAAGTCGACAGTTCGGCATGGATATGACTCTTCTTTCTTCATACATTGCAAGAAGGGTATCTCGCTTGCTACTGAACGAACCCGTTTACCTGCTTCTCGAGTCAGCGAAGCCGGTAGGTACGCTGAATAAGAATCATAACTAAGCACGCCAATGCTATGCCAATGCCATCTATGCAGCCTAGCAATTCGAGATTTTCATATCAAACCCTTGAAAATAACCCCGTGTAACTGCCTCATCACACCATCATACTCCCTTTGAACTCACCCACCCTTTCCAACGTCCTCTTCAAACCCTCGTCCGATTAGCCTTCCGATCATACAACCACTTGTTGTTCAACGCCACGCTCGCCTTCCCCTGCCCCGGCGTCGGCGTACCAGGCGCACCCACACTCTTCTTCCCCATATTCTCAAGACTCAGATCCAGAGCACTCGGACTGCCCATCGTCATTCCCAACCCACCATTCCCAAGACCATTCCCTCCAGCGCCAATCGGAGACCCAGACCCATAACTCCACCGCCTCGCACTACTGTCGCCCATCCGGATGAAACTCCCATTCCTGCTGATTCCCTTCCATGCGCCGTTGCCGGGGCTTCCATCGCCTCTCAATGCTTTTTGTAGCAAGGGGCTGCCGCTGCCGCCAATGGGGCTGTCGATCACGCGGCCCCGGGGACTGCCACTTCCACTTGCGCTTCGTGGGGTAGAAGAGCGCGCGTACCGTGGCGGCGTGATGTATTGGGATCCGGGGGTGACGGGCGCGGAGGAGGGACCGAGACCCAGACGCGCGCGTTGGGTGGGTGTGAGGGGGATGTCACTGAGGTCGTCGTGGCGCTTGATGAGTGGCGTGAGAGATGTGAGAATGTGGTAGAGGAAAAGGACGCGGAGGAGGAGGAGGGTAAGGTGCGTGTAGAAGTGGAGGGTAGCCGGGAGCGAGAGGTTGTAGCTGTGGGTGGTGATTAGCGAGTGGGACTGGATGAAGGAGGCTGGAGGGGGATTGAGCGATGCGCCGGAAATTTCCCAGATGCATGGGCACATACTTGCTCAGTTTTGCCGGAGC